GCTTTGGATGCCAAACCCCATGACATATATAACCGTAGGTCTCTTGGGGGTACATCGGTCAGAGTACAACAGAAGCGTAAGTCGAACGACATTTCCCATTGCCGTCGCTGCCAACAGTTAATCCACACGGCATCCTACTGCCCCGCTGCCGTCATCTGCGGCTTCTGCAGTTTGACCCACGCCTGCGCCACCGCAGCCTGTACAAAGAAGGGCACGGACCAAGTCATCCCTCGCTGTGCAAACTGCAACGGCGACCACCACCCTTTTTTACCGGGGATACCCAAAAGTCCCCTAAAAAGGAGTTCACGCTCTCAAGAAAGGAACTGCCCTTCCTCCCCCTTTCGTGAAATCCACCCTTCGGACAACAGCCCAAGGCTCGAACACCATTCACCTGGGAATGTCATACGCGAGTGTGGCATCCTCTCAACAGAACCAAATAAGAGCTCAACCCCCAACTCCTCTATTCAACACACCCCCCACCACCGAGACAATCCTCCACTCCATCATGAATCATGACCCTGCTGATACGGCTCGACCAAAAAGTGTCCGGTCTCGAAGGCAACAGAACAGCAGCACGCTAGACAGAGATTTCATGCTACTTAACTAGAATGCAAATAGCATCATATACAAAACGACTGAACTTACACATATACTCCAGACAAAAGATATCGACATTGCATGCACTACAGAAACACACCTAGACAACACTACGTCGCTCTACATACCAAACTACATTGTACATAGACGTGATAGCCTCCATTAGAATCATCTCTCTATATTGTCTTNACCCCTCGCTGTGCTAACTGCCATGGTGAGCCCCGCGCCATCTGCCAGGGTTGTCCGAAAATCCCCCAAAAAGAAGTTCACGCTCCTAAGAAAAGCACTACCCCACCTCCACCCCCTTTTGGGAGAGCCACTCCCCAGACAACAGCCCAAGGCTCGAACATCATTTGCCCGGAGATATCGTACGCGAATGTGTCTTCCTCTCAACAACACCGAACAGGAGCTCCTCCCGTGACTCTTCTGCTCAACACAACTCCAACCACCGAGACAATCCTACACTTAATCATGACCCTGCTGACTCGCCTCGACCAAAGAGTGTCCGGTCTTGAGGGCAACAGAAAAACAGCACGCTAGACCGAGACTTTACGCTACTTAACTGGAACGCGAACAGAATCACACACAAAACGACTGAACTCACATACATACTTCAGACAAAAGACATCGACATTGCATGCATCACTGAAATACACCTAGACAACACAAAAACACTCTTCATACCAAACTACACGGTACACAGACGTGACAGACGCCAAAAATCCCATGGCGGAGTGGCTATCCTTGTATGCTAGGGCATCCGCCATCAAGTCATACGTACGGACGCTGCTAACTGCGAAGCAGTTGGCATTGTAGTACACACCACCTTATCTGCCTCCATCAGGATCATCTCTCTCTATTTTCCTCCAACGAATGATCCAAACCTCCAATGCATAATCCCGCTGTTTGACTCCAACATTCCTACGATCGCGGCTGGCGACTTGAATGCCAAGCACAAATCGTGGGGGTGCAAACACGAGAATCCCAAAGGACGCTCCCTCCTGAAACTCTTGCGTAACCTCAACATCAATATTGAGGTTCCAAGCGAACCATTTCACTATCCAAGCTTCCCAGACCAGGACCCCGACATTCTAGACATATTCCTAACAAAAAACTTGACCATCCCTACGGAACCACGAACATCCCCAGACCTTCCTTGCAAAAAATCAACAAATGCACACACGAAGCCACCACAACAACCACAGCTCCCCAACACACACTTAAACTCCCTCGCGACCTCCTGCGTCTCATCAAGGAGAAGAAAAAAGTCCAGAAACTCTGGCAAAAAAGAAGAACCCCCAAACTTACAGTTCATCTAAACTCCCTTAAAAAGGAAGTCAAATCCAAAGTCTTCGAATTCCGAAACAAGGAATTTAACAAATTCATAGCCAAGGCAGAATCCCACCCAAGAAATGCTTGGAAGGTCGTTAAAAAACTCCGTAACAAACGGCCTTCCCTCCCCCCCCTTCAACAAGGAAATAAACTCTACTCACTAGATTCAGACAAAGCAGAGATCTTTGCAGATTCACTGCAAAATCAATGCTCCCCCAACCTTAGTGCTGAAGAACTAGCGCAGGAACACGCGAGAATCAACCACAGGGTGCACCAACAGGTCCTTGACAATTCAGATTTCAAACACTGCACACTCTTCGAAATCAGAGGCATCATCCGCTCCCTTAAAACTCGGAAAGCCCCTGGCAGTGACGGTATCTCCAATAGCGTCCTGAAAATCCTCCCTCAAAAATTTATCACGGCAATTTGCAACATCACTAACGCCGTGATGCACCTTCGTTATTTCCCAATTGCGTGGAAGGTGGCTACGGTCATCTGCCTCCCGAAGCCAGGAAAAACCCTTAGCAACCTCTCGAGTCATAGACTCATTAGTTTACTCTCCTCGCCCAGTAAAATAACCGAAAGCGTCATCCTCACCCGCCTAAACAAGCACGCCACGAAAAATAACATTCTTCCAGACGTGTAGTACGGTTCTAAAGCCAGACATTCGACCGTACACCAGCTTCTGAGAGTCACCGAAGACCTTTCCGATAGCCTCATCCACAAAAACTTCACCACGATAGCTTTCCTAGATGTACAGCAGGCCTCCGACAGAGTTTGGCACGAAGGCTTCCTATACGAGCTCACTCAGTTAGGTTTTCCGCACTACCTCATCGGCACCATCAAATCCTACCTATCGGACAGATTCATCCGCGTAAAAGTAGGCGACTCCCTCTCTGACCCTCACCCAATAACCTCCGGAGTACCCCAAGGCTCAAAATTCTCACCCACCCTTTTCAACATTTTTTGCCACGACCTGCCCCAGCGCAAAAACATCAACACGTACGTTTATGCAGACGACGTCACGGTCAGCTGCACGTCAAAAGCACACTTTCGGTGCACCACCTTTCTAAACAAGCACATCGTCACTCTACATAACTGGTATAGTCTTTGGAAACTGGTCGTAAATGAGACAAAGCCATGCTCGTCTCCTGGAAAAATCTAAGGAAGAAACTGCAGAAGATAAAGGTAAACGGAGTAGAAATTGACTGGACCTACTCCGCCAAGTACCTCGGCGTAACGCTAGACCGTCGACTTACGTAGGTTCATCACATCCACTGCACCCACGGCAAGGCATATGGAGCCTTCGTGCAACTAAAGCCCTTTTTCAACAACAAAGCAGTCTTCCAGAAGACCAAGCTGCGCACCTTTAACGCCATCATCAAGAGCATTAGCACCTACGCGATGCCAACGTGGGGCGCTGCAAAGGGAAACCGACTACAGGGCATCCAGGGCCCTTTTATGAAGATACTGAGGTCGGTCCTGGGCATTCCGTGGTACATCAGAAATATTCAAATTCTCAAGGAGATTAACATCGTCCCTCCAATACAAGCAGCCCCCGTCCTTGCGTCTAAAATATGCGCCTCTATAACGGACCACCCAAACCCCACCATCGCCGCACTCGCGAACCTTCAACCCGGGCGCTTCGACCTTATACGACGTCCATGCGCTCTAGCACAAAACCCCGAGGACCCTCAATATACTCTAGGTCTTTAATCTCCCCTGCTTCCATCGCATGCCACCCAAACCCAACCATCGCCGCACTATCAAACCTCCATCCTGGGCGCTTCGACCTTATACGACGTCCATGCACTCTTGCACAAAACCCTGCGGATCTCCAAAATACTCTAGGTTTTTAATCCCCCATGCTCCCATCAGATACATCTCCATAATCTCGCTGAATAACCGTGACTTCAATCCGTACGCTCTTCTCAGGAGCACCCATCTGTCCGCCATATCCTTTTCGGCCTAAGCCCTATACAACACTTACACTTATCACAAGTACGCTCCCAAATACACAACACGCAGTGGATTCACACATCTACTCACACATACAATAAAACCAAATTTAATCTTCTCTAACTCTATTCCGGCGCAAACCAAGATTCGAGTTTCGCTTAGTTGCGTAAGTGCCCCTCCTCTTATCCCTTTGAGAGCGAGCGGGCCTCCAAAATTCTCCGTTATTTTCTTTCTTCCTTCTTCTTAAATGCCCTTTTGTCTTCTAAGAGAGTGATCATTACGGACCTGTCCCATGCGGGGAGGTTAGTTTTTAGTCGGTAGGCACACTGGGTAAATCCGACACTACCACCGGATTAGCTGGGGTGTCTATGAAGATTTTCCCCTCCCCGCTCCATCAAACAAAAAAAAAAAAAAAAAAAAAAAAAAAAAAAAAAAAAAAAAAAAAA